TTTTTTTTCTTTATTGTGTATGAAATTTTTATTTTTATATGAAATGAATAAATAAATAATAAGTAACATTAGTCTGGTAAGCTCAATTAGCCTCACAGAGAAGACAATGGCTGCATTCACATAGAATCTACTCTTACCTGGAGCAAGGTGTGTTTTCACAAGAAATCTTTGTCCGGATGGGTGTGGATGAGGTGGATTTTGTATCACTTTCACTGATCTTTTGACCTCTGGGGGAAGGTGGGTTAGAAAAAGTCTCATTGGGAGCTGTGTTGGACCTGAGTTCATCAATAACGGGTGCTTGAGACGCAGGAGGAGGTGAGCAGATTCGGGCATGGGAGGAGGAGGTGACGTTTGGAGAGCTGGATCTRCTGGAACTCCTTTCTCTTACTGACACATCTTCCCTTGGGTCCGAGCTCTGCTTCAACAGGGGTTTTCTCTGCGTTTGGTTTTGGATCTGTCCCTGAGTGTTCTTCTGTTGTTTCTCTCGCTGGTGAGCTCGCTCTTCTGCAAAACACACCTCATGCCTCCCCGCTCCTTCACGCAGAGCGGAATTTTTCCTCAGCTTATCTAGCTGCTCAGAGCTCTTACTGAGAGCTGGCAGATTAGTTGTACACTGAGCTCCGAGCTCCTCCATGGACTTTCCTCTCTGTGCTACCTGGCTAGCACGCTGCTGCCCCTCAGGAACTTGCTTCAACGAGGACTCCACTGCTTCACTCTTCAGGGAACTGAAATCAACATTCAGAATTTAAATAAAAACTAGTAGCACGGATGCAATGCATGTAAACTATTTCTAAAAAGGAAGCACTTCTGAAAAATAGGCCAGTTTGTTACAAATGTCTGTCTATTATTTGTCTTTTATGGTCCCGGAGTAAATCTTTAGAAAAGAATGTTAGCTGGAGCAGGTGGGTGTTGACTTTCCAGTGCCACAATGAATCAAGTTGAGATTTATAGTCTGTGCYATGGTGCTCACATCACTGACCTAATACTCTCTTGACCTAAAAACCAATAAAATTGTCCCTATTTGTCTAAAGCTCTGGTACATACCTCTGTGTTTCCATAGTGTTAGGTACCAGGGGATCCTCCATGTGGTCATGTGCCTGCAGACCCAAAAGAAGCAATGATTAACTATTAGATGCGTGTGAAGACCTACTTTTTAGTTTTTAGTTGTAGCTTACAGAAAGTTGATTTAYATGTGAAAAATGTTTGTCAGCTGGACTTGTGAGCTTGAGATAAACCCTGAGGCGAGGCATTTTAGGATTAAAGAAAAGTCTTGGGTTAATGGTTTGTACCTCGAATGTGTGTGGTGTGGAGATGGATCGGTTCCTGAAGAAACCAGTTGGTTCTCGTTGATCCAGCAGACTCTCTGCTGAGGCTGACTTTCCCTGAGATGGACCATGACTCTCCCTCTTTTTGGATGAACTTTGCTGGCCAGCATAATGACCTGAGCAGGACTGTGCTGAGAAGAACTGGGCATACCTGTTTTAGGAAAATTAAAGCATCTCTTACAATATGTGATTAAGCTCAATTTAGTGTTAAGAAAAAAACAGATATGGTTCTTTAATGTTGGGTAATCTGCTATACCTGATAGAGCTGCTGGGAGAATCCAAGATCCGGCCAGCAGAGTGAGGTCTGTTGTGCTTCTTCTTCATATTTTTACCTTCTTGGTTCCCTGATAGTGGGCGAGGACTCCAGTCAAATGGTTTCTCCCCGAGAGAATGTCTCTGTCTTGGTGGAGGTGGTAGCTGAAGCACAGGCTGCTGAGGCTCAGTTGCTTTCTGGCCCGTCTTACGCTCCATGTACTCCACCAGAGCCTTTTGTTGCATATGCTTTAGATTTGTCTTTGAGAAGCTCGATGCTGACTGAGTCCGACCCCTTGTCTCAAACATCTTTCTGCGTGCTGCGACCAGTCCCTTCTCTCTTTGCTGATCAGGCTCCTCTCCCTCGTATTCAGCTGCGAACAAGTGTTTGCTTTCATCGCCGAAGGAACGGCAAGTTAAATGGACGGGTGCACTGCCAATCTGGTTGAGTTTCTCAGGCTCAGAGAAGCACATCTTCTTCTGCTCTGGAGTCAACCTCTTCCTGCCTCCGATGCGAGCCACCTGAGGCTGGGCCACATTTGATGGCCTTCCATTTTCCTTCTCAGTCACTTTAGTTGTCTCGCTTTGATTCTCCCAAACTTCTTCCTTTACGCTCCCTTTCTCCGTCTCCTCAGATGTCATTGAGGGAGTGAGAGTGGCTGTGGAAGTTTCAGAGTCCTGTGATAAGGAGAATGAGTGAATAACTGTGGGCCTGCTTTCTGGTTTTTGCCTCATACAGTGTGGCCAGGACAGCTGTAAATCCCTCCTTTTAAATGACGTCTCTCTTAGAACTTTACACTGAGCATCCTTCAGCTTCTCCTTGTAGTACTTGTTAAATGAATCATCTAGAGTGTTACTGGCGCTGGATGCAACACCTCGATCATGCTTGCTAATGTCATCATGTGTGGGTATCTCGTTATCAGTTATTGCTACATCTTCTTGATCTGTTTCATTACGGACCACTTCGTTGCCTTTCATGGGGAAACCAGGGTCAGACCTGGGCTGTAACACTGTCCTGTTGGCTCCAGTCAGATGGTACAGAAGTGGGGTCGTTTCTTTGTTTATCCTCTCACTGGCAACATCACCCAAGGGCTGCCGCTTCTCTCTTTTTGCACGATCCTCGCTCTTGTTGTTGTTGGACTGTTTGTTACCAACTTCCTTTTTGCTGGTTGCTGAATGTGGTGGGAAATTTCTGTCAGGTCCACAGTAAAATATAGGGTTGCTGGCAGTGTGACGGCCAATCTCACGACTCTGCGTCATGTCAATTTCTTCTGACTCTAAGTTTTGACAGGGTTGGGTCAAGATGAGGGGTGGTTTGTAATTCTCCTGGTCCTGGCTCATGAAGGGAAAGTCCTTTCTCTGAGACACAGATGTAAAAACCTCATCATCTTGAATGATACTGCTACTGGAACATGATCTCTCTCGTCTAAACAAATTATCCATAGTGCTGTGACATCTCTCTCTATCTYGTAGACGATGGGTCTCTAACAAAGTGGAGGCCACACTTTCAGCTTCTAGGCCACTGACAGTTGCAGAGTGTGTCCTCAAACCAGATTCAGATGGCTTACACACTCCTGTTACAAAATAGAACTGGCCCTTATGTTGAATGCTGCTGTTGACAAAACCTTGACCAGTATTCTTGGGACTGGCAGCTCGAGTCGGCCCTGAACCACACCAGCCTTGAGTCAAATGTGCCTTTTTGCGCTCACTTTCAAAATGGTTACTGGATTTGTTGTGGTAGTCTCCGTTACACCCAGCACCRCCCAGAGGCTGTTTGGGCATCAGCTGCTCGGGTTGGTTGGTACCTTTAGGAGGTGATCGGCTCAAGATATTTACTGACCTCTGCCGCTCGGAGGGACCTTTATTATCAGTGATAGAAGGCTGTTCTGGGTTTAGCCTGGTCTGGTCTTGAAGCTGGAGGTGTAGTCTGTAGACTGGTGGATGCTGGGTCTGTGGTTGGTCCTGTTGAGAGCCTCTCCATACGGAGTACAATGAGTCAGAACTGAATCTGCCCATGTCTGGGCTACCTGTATCTGATTTTGGGGAATTCACACTCTGGGAWCGGAGTCGATTATGATGTTTAGGCTGCTGTGATTGTAGTTGCAGTGGTTGAAATTCAGTACCATGGGTGGGAACCCTACTGTTCTCCAWGTTTTTAGTGGCAATGAAACTATCAAGGCGTGCTGGAACTGGAGGGGGATGGGGAGGAGTCTGAGCACTTTGGGATAGAGTCCTCGAATGCACCTCTTKCTTAGAGTGTGCTTTGCTATTGGTGTGGAGACTCTCATTGCTGTTGTGACGATGAGGATTGACATTACTGTTGTTGTGATATTGCTGTGAGATTGTTTCAGCTGAGTGATAGAGCTGATCCATGGTCTTTGTGTTGGACTGCAGAACCTGGGCAGGGTGATAAAGGGACTTTACATATTTAAGGTCAGCATAATGGCCGAACGAGCTGGACTGTAGGTCATCTGGCAAGAAAAGAGATGGGTAATCTGGTGCTGTGGACCCACCAGAGAAGGAACTGTAGGCAGAATCTCCCTTGCCGTGCTGATGGTGGGCAAGATGTTCAACGATGCTACTGTTGGACTTGGCTGGCGAAAGCCGGCTGACAGGCAGGCTCAGAGGATGCAGATCCACGTTGCTCATTCTCTCAAACTGAAAGCTGTAGGATTCCATGAAGGACTGGGGCAAACGGCATGAAGAGAGGGGCAGGGTTTGTAAAACTTCTGTGTGTTTATGCAGCGATGCATAAGTTCTCCTTGTTGGTAAAACTTGAGAAATTATGTTCAATTCGTTTGCACCAGGTTTGTTACACTTGTTCCAAATCAGGTCATTTTTCTTGTTTCTTTTAAAGCCTCTTGAAACAGTCTGGTCCTGGAGGAGAAAACAAACAAAGACTGGTTATTAGTTTAAAATCCTAACTAAAGTTCAGTCAAACAAGTGAGGAAAACAACAGCTCAAAAAGTAAAATAGCCACAGAAAACATGGGTTTTCCAACTGCAAATGGAAAAAAAATGCGGACATGCATGACTGATAGTTTAATACAAACACTCATGTTTGTGTTAGATTATCAGCTTGGCACTCACACCAGTGTAATGATCCTTACTTTAACATCAAAGAAAAATGCTTTTTTTTCATCTACACTACATTCCTAGCAGAAAAYGATCCATCAGCAAGAGATAAATTTCTCTATCTGAAATAAATAGTTGTGTTCGTAAAACGTCTTTTACTCAAACTGTGAGGATGCAAGAAAAAAAACACTGACATTTTTAGGTCAAATTCCACTTTTGAAAAAGTTTGCTCCACCTGTAACATATTGTAATGAAAAAACGTACACCASTGAGTAAACGCTGCCTTAAACAGAAGATAAGAAAATGATTCTCCGACCCAGTTGAGTTTGTGGTGTATTAATTTATGCCAAACAATTTTGAAGTTCCAGGACTAATAGATGGTACTCCATAAGGCATTTTTAGATAAATATTTTGATGGTWAATACTACAGTATATACTATAAAAGTTGAGTCCTATTTCTTAATAAATTTKTGTGTTGTTTCTCCACTGCTAAAAGAGTTTATTGCTGTTTTGTATTATAGGTCAGCCTCATGAACCTGCTGCTCAAGGAGATTGTGTGCAGTTTTGCATCAATAAGCTCTTATTAAGGGTTTAAGGTTGGTGGTGCACGACGCAGTGCACTCATGAAAGAAATGACAAGAATTTTGGAAATATGTGGGGATTAGTCATGTGACATGTGCATAAGGCAGTGTAATACAGTATTCAGATRTTTAAACTTAATGAGCCTATTTTTCCCTTTTTCATAAGATGCACTGGTTATTTTATGTTTAACTACTTTCTAAATTGTACTTTATAAGTTTCTGTCACTGTGTAAGCACCTACTATAAAAACTTTCAGTGTAGATAAAATTCATTTCAGGCCATGACAGTAAAGTACCTATAAAATAACTGCAAATACCATGTATGTAAATATTTCAGAAAAAAATATTTCAAGTGTATTATAGTTAAGTTTATGAAATCTTTTCTTCTAAAAACCATTTAAAAACCAAAGTTGTCTAACCTGCAGTTTGAGTGCTAAATCATGGGGCGAAAGAGTTGATTATCAGAAATTAATCAGGCTAAATAATATTTTTTAGGGATGCATGATATATCAGTATTGATATCGGTATCGGCCAATATTGGTCATTTTTTGGAATATTGGTATTGGTCCGATATGTAAAATGGGGCAGATATTAATGTCCGATATTGATTTCCCACTTTTTAGCTTTGTGTTTCTGTTTTGGGAGGTGAGACGGTTGGTTGAGCAGCATCTGTTTGATCATGATAGTGATATTGAAGCTGCGCAGCCAGGAATAAATGAAGTAGGGAGCCATGTCAGAGATCTGGTCATTTATTTACAGTATCAAAAAAGACCCAAGTGTGTTTTTGCGTATATGTATAATATAATTTGTATGTTTGTTTTTGGCTGAAATTTTCATATTGGTGAATCCCCAATATTTTTAATATGTAAGACACGTTTAATAAGTTCTGTTCAAGTGAAAATAAAATTATATATTGTGGACATCGTATATGAAAACCCTCTGTCATTACCAGCTATCCAAAAAAATATATATTGGTAATGAAACAAGCTCCTTTGAGGTAATGATAGGTTTACGACTAATGACAGGACTCTCCCATGTCCACAATAATTCACTTGACTTTGCAATAATGATTGAAGCTGCGTGCTTGTCATGCTGACACTAAAGTAAATGTTGCTGGTAAAACAAAGACAAGCCAACCAGTTAATAAAATTGTGACAGTGCTATATCAATGTTAGGCCTCATTGATGATGGGAACGGCAAAAAAATCCTGAATTTGTTTAGTTTATTTTTGCTAAAACTAAACCAGCTGAAAACTCTTTCAGCCTATTCCAAGTTCGTTGGCAGAGCTGAAAACTTGTATCAAACTAAAAATTACAGCTGCTCCTTGTGCATATACATAAAAACCACCTTGCAAGAGTTTTAAAGGGGATTTAGCACATTTATGAAAGGCCTTCTGATAGGTATTGTGTTTTGTGTGTGCATGTGTGGTTGTAGTTTCCAGCCTTCCTCTGAGTGCAGAGAGAGGCTCCCAAACAGGGGTGCGCTCAAGTGGAAGTGATGGAGGGGACAGGCAATGACAAAATGTACAGAGGGGAGCGAAGCGAGGAGGGAGGGTGAGAATGAGGGTGAGTGGCCCAGACAAATACTCTCACACGCAAACCACAACAAGAGACAGGAGAAGTGAACAATGACAGCCGGAAAGCTGAGCGCAGGTTGGAACATTGGATCAACAGCAGCGACTGGGAGGCACATTGTGAATCTCTCAGACAACAGCTATGCAAACTGGGTTGAAACAACAAGCAGCATAAGCTGGAAAAAAAAGGAAACACTCACCCAAACTTTGAGTCTAAGTCACCCACTTTCCTGATTCCCATCTGAAAAGAAAATTTGTCTCCAAAGTCTAATCTTAAAAGCAGATTAGCCAAATGATTTCCGTCCTCGTTTCTGTTTCAGAACATTGTTCTTCTTCTAATGAATGACCAGGCCAAGTTACCAGGAGAGCCAGATATTAGAGGGAAGACTTCTAGTGGGTCTAGCTCTCCCCCCACTGAGACCCGAGGCTGCCTAGTGAGAGCCACTGATTGGCCAGGCGATGACGTCCAGCTCTCTGATGCACAATGAGCGCAGCGGAGGGAATATTTCACTGCTGTGGATAGCTGCTAGAGCTGCTGGCTGCCTGAACAACAGAAAAGAGGGGCAAAAAAAAAAAAAAAAGAGGCCTCGCATTCCTGGCTGGCTTCAAAGACGGAGCAGAGCCGGGGCGCCATTCATTTCCAAGGCCCAGAGTCCGGCACATGGAGACTAGCCAAAGCAGGAGGGAGAACAGCGAAGGGGAGGAGGGGGACAATAGTGGTGAGGCGAGTGGGTGTATGGGTGAACTCCCAGCCTCCACCCCAAAGAAGGGGGGAAAGAAAAGTCATGAGACCAACTTTCCCCCACAATCACCCCAAATTTTTTTCTTTTACTCACTTTTAGTTTCTATGACTTTATTAAATGTAGCATCGTCTCTGTATTCACAGGCTTTTCTAACCGTAAACAATTAAAAAAGAAAAAACTTTTGCCTTTTTGAAAAATGATGCCTGTTATTTAAACCATAAACTGGACACAGATCCATATATTTAAATGATTAAGCCTGTTTTTAAWAATGCCAACTTTCAGAAATCTTCTGCTTGTTCAGTGTCTAATAAAGACCTTTGTTGCCTCCTTCATTGTTTTCTATCCAAGCCATCAACAAGGGTTCACTATGCAGAGTTTTTTTTTTTTGTTACTGAGCATGATCAGGCAAACTGAAGCTGCATCTGTCTTCTGCTGATGTCTATACCTCACTCTACTTCATGTGTGTTTATGATGAGTAAACCCATAACCACTTTCCGTCTGGGAAAGCACTGCATCATGTAATTAAGCCTAATGACCCAAAAGAGTTTAAAGACCAGACATTTTTAATAATACATAAAATAAAAAGAAGAGGTTAGGTTAGGACAAATATTTGTAATAGGACTGGATTCACAAATTTAACCAATAACAAGGAGTGAAAATGAGGCAAAGCTGTTCTRCAGGGAGGAATTAAGGATAGGAGGGAGTGCTAAATTCTTTCTGATTGTTTTCCTGTTATTATTATTATTATGTGTTCCGGCATGACCTTCACCATGCAKCCACAAGACTGGAACACCAAGTCTCAGAGTGTTAGCAATGGAACGAAGACGACAGAATGAGGCAAACTTTGTTTACACGAGTCTTGTTTACCAACTGAAAACTGTAACCCTTGTTAGTCCTGATAAACTTGCTGATTTGAAAAACAGATCGAAGGCTCTTCTTATCTACTGATGAAGACAGGTTCAGTACTGAACAATGCCAAACCTGGGGCAAAACAAGATCATTTTTTAACTTAATGTCCAGGTGGCAGCTTATTTTTTTAAAAGGACTGTCAAGTGTTGTTTTTAGGAGTGAAAAGAGACTTAAGTTACCCCCAATAAAATTATCCCTGACAATTTAGTCCTGGAAGAGACAAGAACCAGCACTGTAAGTCCTAACTTGCTAAAAGCATTTTTTGTAGTTTTTCCAACTCCTATTTAATTTCCTTCTCTTTAATTTAATACAGAGTTTGTGTAACAAACTGTAAATTAAGTGTTGATTTGAATCTTTACTGCAAAACTTAATGTAGAGAAAAAGGTGTAAAGATGACAGTCAATGGGCCTCATACAAGAACCGTTCGTACACACAGATTTGTTCTTAAATTGTGCGTACGAGTGATTTAGGAGAATTT